AGCAATATATATATATAGCTATAATGTTGCCGGTCTGTCATTTACCAGTCTATGATCCTGTAGTGCTCTGTTCCGCGTCGAAAATAATTTCATCGAGGTTGGCTAACTAGAAATTGAAAAAAAGTGAGTTTTTCTAGGCGAATGAATAAATCACGAGTAGATTTATAACTTAACCCACCGATAGTTTACTGCTATGTTTTTATGATAGTTCTATATAGTTGACAGGAGTTTTAAAAAATCCATTAAAATATTTGATATATTTACTCTGCTCTCACATCTTGTATTACTTACAGATTTCAATGTTAAACTAGTGATAGTAAGATTTAGTATGTCCCATCTTTAAGGGGATGCTGGAAAAAACGTGTACAATTCTTGTACAATGTTAAAAAAAATGAACATTGGCAACATCATTTGGCAACATCACTCATTACTAAATGTAATGAGTGAGATGAACAAGATACAAAAATCTCTAGAATTTATTTTCCTTAAATTTACGATTTATGTATCCGTTGTCGTAAAAATTTCTTTCCACATTTTTCCCGAGACTACAAATGTTCGAGTACAAAGTAATCGGTTTCGACTTATTTCTACTTAAGAAGCAATTAAATAATTAAGAGATTAGGGAACTAGGGACATAAATAAAACCCCGCTGAAAGAGCCGGAATTTTACTTAAACAAAAGCTTAACCGAATTAACTCTAGCATGGACGAGTGGTCTCCGTTGCCGCTTGTCGTAGTGGTGACCAGACCCTAAAGACTGGGAGGTTCGTCGTGGGTTCGCGCCACGGTCGGACAGGCTGGCTGCTTGGAGTTTTCCGTGTTTTCTCCTTGCCAATAACGACTGAATAGGAGGCCAGTTCCCCATAAAAGTCCTCCCGGAAGGCATTATTTCCCGCGCGCGCGCGATTACGCCGTTCAGGTACGGCTGGCTCATCGGTCGCATAGCGATCATACACAAATCTATCGGAGAAAGAGCCTATTTGAGCTATAATCTCCATATTAACACCTGCAAGAAGAAGAATCAACTCTAGCAGATTACAGTGGGGACTGATTTCTTCATAATATAAAGACAGAAATTTTTCCAGTTCAATGAGAGTGACCGAAAAGTTGTAACAAATGACGGACAATCTATTAAGTTTAACATATTTAGATTTTTACAGCTGTGGTGAGAAACGTTTAAAATTTACAATCACCCTGTCGCATCCTTTGAAGTATACTAGTGATGCGACAAAAGGCATTTGACATTGACCGGTATTGGCACCCTCAGGATTTGGTAGCTCACGTGCATCACCTACCAGGACCGTTTCTGATTTCATCCATTAGCCACTCGTAGGGAGTTATTTAAGTGAATTGTTTTAATATTTAAAAAGCAATGTGAGGGTCGTAAAAGCGCGTCGAAATTACGACTAATTACAAACTTTAATGTCAGAGAGTTTCGAAGATAGAATCGGGTCAAGGGGATGTGTTAGTGACAGAACCCAGATGGGACGAAAACTTTTTTCGAATCGTAAAACAAACGTGACACGATGATAAACAACAGGGGAGAATGTCGACAGAGAGAAAGAGCTTTGTTGAGATGCTCGCGAACAAGTGTCGGGTCGACGAGCGCGAACATTAAAAGCTCCGTCATCACCTCTCCGACCTTTTCCCGACCCGAATCGGTCTCAAGTTTCGCCTAGAAACAAAAGAATGACCAATCAGGGTAAGGGAGAGGGTGAACGGGACCAATCAAAAGGGTGAGATTCGGGGAAAATCTTATAAAACCCCCGAATCTCAAGGACAGCGGAGAGATTCTCAGCCGCTTCTCTCCGAGGAGAGATTCTCAGCCGCTTCTCTCCGAAGAGAAATTCTCAGCCGATTCTCCACAGTTCTCCACCGGGACCAGGTTCTCCACCAGTGACCAAAATCTCCGTGCATCCGCATCACCGGACAGAAGCCCCTGTGCAATGGACACTCTCCTGTCAAGCCTGGAACACCAGTCAGCGCCCGTTCGTCGACATCAAGGAGCTCCCACCAAAGCCGATCTAGATCGCATTGTTATTGTCATTATGTGAGTTAACCTTATGTCAAAATAAACGGTTTTCGTGTAAGACACTTGTCATCTCTGTCTCCTACCGCCACCACCCACATACGGTTTGACCTTAGGTTTTCCTGACGCGCAATTAACGTATTGTCCCCAAAATCGGCGAACTTACAGTAAAGAATATGTTTTTATGTACAGTACGTTTAGTTTACAAAGCTATATTTAATTATAATTTTCTTTAAAAGTATATTCATACAATTAAAGAATATTTTGTACCAGGTATGTACTGTACAATACATCCACCACACATTTTATTTTTAATTATAGCCCTTATATCGTGGCTAGCGATTCAGAATGTAATTGTGATATTAAAAATACATTTAGAGAAGTCTACGGTTTTTACTGGCTTATCGAACAAATGAATACGAATGAACTCTATAGCAGGGGTGGCCAACCTTTTGCATACCATGCGCCAATTTTTTGACAGACGAGTTCAGATGCGCAGTGACGTACCGTGAGTGTTAGCAGCCCGGGGCGGAGAAAAACTTCGGTCACCCGTTAATTAGGTACTTTAATTTATAAGAATAAACTATTTATAATCTATAATTTATTAGAGAACTATCTTACACGAGTAGCTAAGCCACCCGTATAAAGTAGTTCTATATGACATCAGTGGTGTACGTGTACACGAGTGCATCGTGTAACGTACAAGCAAAGAAAGAAAGAAAAAAAAAACGATCAACAGATCGACTTTACTGAAATGTGCATACAGTGCAGTCGAATCCGGCAATATAGCTCGGATACGACTGAAGCACCACTTGTAATCGTCCAATGCGCCACCTGTTGGCCACCCCTGCTCTAGACCATCACTGGCGCGCAATTAACTGGTTGCCCTGGAAATCGGCTTCTTACAGAAACACAGCTTCCCTATCATCAAATGTCACGGCACGCCACTGTACAGATGAAATATGTAAAAAATGCGGCTTCACTGCCTATTATAAATAAACCTAACCGAGCGATTTTTATGTTATTTTTTATCTTCTCTTTTCCAACGTCAAGTTCAAAAGCAAAACTTTCTTTCCTTTACAATATGGTGGTTTGTTCTACAGTGAAGCCACTTCCGGTTTCAAGTAGTAACAAAGCGCTTCCGCTCCAGTTAGCTCCATGACAATATCTATGTTCTGCAATATGACCTACTTCATGTTTATAATTTTGGATAGCTAAAAAATAGGTATAATTTGAAATAAAATTTTTCAGTGGTTCTATTTCCTGGAGAATTACCTACTTAAGTTAAATTGAATGAATTCACTGTTAACTTTTTGGGAGAGAAACATCGTTCACGCTAAAAATGTAAATAATGATTTTAAATTTAAAAAATCCTAAATATACAGTGGGTGATCGGTTAACGAACATTTTCTCGAAAGATTTTTATGATCGGACAACGAACACTTCACTGAACAAACACAAAAAGCGACGTAAAATAACGAATAACGATTGTTCTTCCTGTCTTCGGGCAACAATTCGAAACTTTTTGGAGCGCAGGAGACGTCAACATCGACGTTCTACCCAGTATATACTGATCGGATAGTATTCTCCCGAACTTTGAAACTCTCTCTCGTAATTCCAGCCTTTTATTTTTCTGACAAACAATTCTTTTACATTTTCTTCTGAAAATGCGAATTTATGCCGATATGTGCTATTAAAGATCTTTTGAAGAAGGGGGATGTCAGAACAACGGTCTTAAAATGACATCCAAACCAGGTTGAGGTTAATAGGCCTAGGGATCTCTACAATTACAATGCTATTAATTACTTCTGAAAAATCATGAAGATAGAAAAGCAATCGACATTGGACAGATTCTTTAACCCCCACAAACGGAAAAAACATGACTAATAAAAATGCAAGACCGTGTATATATGTATTTTTATTATTACATATGAATAAACGTAGTAAGAAAGTACAGTAATACCTCGACTTATGCGATTTTCAATCTCGTCGATTCGTCTTTTGTTTGAGCGCCACGTAGCTCTTGATTACTCACTCCCCACACACTATTCTTCGGCTTACATGTTCGGATGTGTCATGCGGAATCGACACATAGCTACAATTTATTTTGTGTTATTTATTTCTGTGTTTGTTATATCTACGGAGACTCGAGAGACTGTGTGGTGATTTCTTGTAACCGTGAACGAATCAAAAGACGAGATAAGATTAACGAGAACATTTATTAGCTTACATACATCCGACTTGGATTTTAGACAAATTGCGAAATTATACCCCGACATACGCGAATTCGACTTACGCGGTTATCGCTCGGTCCCACCTATCGCGTAAGTTCGGGGTATCACTATATATATTTTTTATTTTTTTGGGGTTTCCAGAACGAATTAATCAAATTCCCATAGAAACCTATGGTAAATCGATAATCGGTTAACGAATTGTTCGTTAACCGACTTCGTTAACCGAATTGTCCGTTAACCGATTATCCCACTGTATAGCATTAAATCTTTGTAAAAATGATTAAGTATTATTTTAAAATGACTAGATCAAAATATTCAATTCGTCAACATTCATGCAGTAAGCATACCTAGCTGAATACTGTATAGATAACCACGATGTACTCTATGTAGCAATATGGTAACAAAACATTTGCTGCCATATTACCATTTCCATGCGCTTTTTTTTTATTATTTGTCTCACTTTATGTTTTATATTAAAACATAAAGTGAGACAAATAATAAAATCTGTATCATACATAATTCTGCTAGTCATTTTTCCCTGCCACCTATTGATGCTTCAGTGCTTTAAAAATTGGGTGCTTTGAGAATATAGGTTTATGTTATTTAATGAAAAATATTTGATGATGAACAGAATAGAGATAATTAATTTTGATAATTTTATATCATATATTTCACCATGTAACAATAAATACATTGTTTCATCAATTTTCAGTGAATAGCAATATTTTAATTAAATGACATGACAAAGGATAGTTATAAAACATATGATATTTATGTTTGTATAAAACTATTTTTATTTGTAATTATGGCACATTGCATACGATATAATTCTAAGAACCCGTACTGTAATTATCACAGACAATTTATCACAGTTTATTTGTTAATGCAGGATAAGGCACTAAAATAATGTACAGTACATCTATTTTTATAATGAAAGAAAAGTGCTGAAGAGTAAAACCAATAACTATATTATTAAATTTTGAAACAAAAGAAAAACAGATGATAAAATTAATGTTGGCCCAATGCTGGGAATTCTTCTGGCAATAAAATGTGAACACGACAAATTGGGCAAGTACTCTGTTTAGTTACCCATTCATGAATGCAGCTATAATGAAAAGAATGTCCACATTCAATTTTAAATGAAACGAATGGAGTCATGTCTTCTAAACAAATACTACAACTGTTATCTGAAGAATCTTTACTTAATGTACTCCAGGGTGTCATTTTTGCAGCTGGTTTTGTCCATACGTCTTGCGAGTCATTATTATTCAAGAAAGCAGCTGGATATGTAGATCTACAAGCTGAATTCTTTTGTTCTTTAATAATTAATGCTGATATTCCTGCAATAATAGCATCTATAGTCATCCCGTTTAAAGAATTATTACGCTGTGCTCTGTATTCTTTCAGATAATTTGCCAATTGTGTTCGATTCATATTTGGGAATTGCATATGTAATTTATTCATTAATTTTTCAAAACTATTTCCCTGACTATTATCTGTAATTGACTTCAGTTGCAACTTTGGAGGTGCAATTGTTTTTGAGTCTCCATAATTTGATTTTAAACTCATATTTACCATTGAAATAGATGAAATTTTGCTGCCAGAACTTTCAGCATTTGAAAAAAATGAAAAATTTTGCCTATCATCAGTTTTAGATTTTGTTTTATTATCTTCAGGTGATGTTAAACTACTTATAGATGTAAAAAGCGGTTCTTTTGAAATTGAAAATGGATCAGTAATAGATGCAGATTTTGCTGCTGTTGAAACAGGATTAGTTGAAGTGAAGAATGGTGGAGATTTATCTATAGGATCATTAACAAGTGATTTTGGATAATCATTTAGACCTGGGGGAAATATTTCTAAACCTGGTGGTGGTGGTGCAAATGAATTAGGCATTCTGTTTTGAATTTGATTAAAAGTTGGAGGATACAAAGGATAACCATCTATTCTTCGAGATGGTCTTAAAGGATGAGGCACAGATGGACGAGAAAGATGAAAATTTTGTGCAGGAATTGGCAAATTTGGTGGACAAAAATAATGATAATTTGGCATTCGCTGTGAAGAGGGTGATTTTCTTATTCCACCAATCTGTTCAGAGCTTCTTAATTCCATAGAATGTTTATAAAATGAATCTATAGTTTCTTGAAGATGCTTTTTACTTTCACGTTCCTCTTTTAAGTCATTTTTTACCTTTTCATTTTCTTGTTGTAACTGATCAAATTGTTTTTTTAATTCTTTCTTTTCTAAAGTTAAATTCTCAAAATCTACTTGTAATTTTTTATTTTCATCTTGTAATTTACTTCGTTCTTGCTGCCATTGTTTCTTATTATTATCTATTTTACATTGCATATCATTTATTTTCTTCTGCAAATTAGTGTTTTCAGCATTTGCATCATCAAGAGACTTTTGGATCATTGACATGTTACATGTATATTTATTTCTCAACTGTGTTAAATTATCCAAAGTAGATGAATAATTATCTTCAATTTGCTCTTTTTCTTTTTCTAATGATGATATCTTGACATTATATTCTAAATATTCCTTTTCAGTTATTGTAATCAATTTCTCTTTCTTATCATCAAATATTAATTTATATGAATTGAGACTTTGGTTTATTTTATCAGTTATATCATCTTTAGAAATTTCACAATTAGAAAGATGATTCAAAAGTGAAATACTCAATTCTACTAAATTTTCAGATGACATATTATCAAAAGGAATAAGATGTAAAGTTTCTTTTTCTATATCAGAGGAATTAACTGAATAGATATTTTTTTCAGGAATGCTAAAACTTTTTCCAGTTATTGGATCTATCTTTTCCTCCTCTGAATTTTCATCTGGATTACTACTAACAAAATCTTCATTTGAATGAAAAAAACATTTTGGCTTAGTTGCAGAAATATTTTCATTTTCAAGTGAGAACATTAAATTTGGCTGTTGTACATTATCCACTTTGTCATTGCTTAATGATAATAAATTGTCATCTCTATAATTCAGTGGCAAAATGTTAGTTTCATTTTCTTCATTTTCTATATCAAAAAAAGCATTTATAGGATTATATTCATTAGCACATGGGTTGAGAATTGAAGAACTATTTGATAAATTTGGCATATTCCCTTCTGATTCATTAATATCATTAAAATCTTCAAATGTATCCAAAGAATCTAATGTATTAGAAAATTTTTTATATTTAGGCAATGAATAAACAGTTAAAACATCTTCTATTAAACAAATATAATCATTAACAATTGCAAAATTTATACTACTTAATAAAAATTTTTCTAATCCACCTTCCTCTGCAATCAATTGTTGTGTTTTACATGGAAATACTGCAATTTCATTCAAGAGAGTTGGATCACTTTTATGTATAGGTCCTTTGAATTTTAAAAACTCTTCAATAAATGAATAAACGTTTTCTTTAATATTTCTAATTTCATCATCATCATTTATTTCATTATTGGGATGTATATATTTCAGATCATCATCAGCACTATTTTGCAAACATGACATTGAATCTAGTTGTTCAAGTCTTGCTTTTCTTTCACAAAACTCAATCCAGTCAGGATTTACATCTGCTTCCATCAAACGTTTACTTTCTTCCAGACGTTTCAAGCGAAGCTGATATTCATTATATGATGAAAATCTTTCTGTACCTTCACAGAATTCTTCAACACTCATTATATTTTTTCCTTTTTGCTTTTTTCGATCTTTTGTCTTTTTAATTTTTGTATCTTTTGACAATTCTTCTTGTTCTTTTTTCAGGACACAAATTGGTACAGAATTTTTTGTATATAAAGGCTGGATATTATCTTTAGATTTTACAGGTTCACATGACTGGTATGTAGGAGGATTTTCAATTTCTTGCTTGTTTATTGAATTATCTTCAATACTGGATTGTTCTTCATGTTCAGAATTTTCAGGATTTACATTTTGATTAACTTCCGGTTTTGAAATCTGACTTTCTTGTTTACGTTTTTTTCTACGCTCTTTCTGCTCAAACTTCTTTTCTAATTTATTCTTGCGATGTTTTTGGTTAGTTTTACCTTTATAATTAACACTATCATCAAATTGCTTTAATACAGTACCATCTTTTTCTAAAATTTTAACATGAACAATAGCACTTCCACAATCAGGTGTTATACATGGTTGTCCCAAAAATTCTTTATCTGTACGGCCTAAACCTTCTTTTAATAACTTCCAACAAGATGAATGATATTCCACACTACACTGATCATGACAACGAACTAAACAAAAACCCTTGAAATGAGGATCACTATAATAAATCTTACGATCTAAAGTACATTCAGGATATCGACAGATAGCATCAGGATCTGGAGGATTATTGCATTTCTCAATTAATTCATTAATCATTTGGCACAGTTTATTTTTTTCTGTTTCTTCTATTTCTATGGAAGTTCCTGGCCAATTATAAGTGAGTGCAATCATTTCATCACTTATGACAGACAGACACTGTTTTAATGATATTTCTGCATCTTTAAATTTATTTAACTTAAAATAAGCTTTACCTAAACCATAATATATAGCAGGAAACTTTTTAACATTTACATCTTTTGAAACATTATTAAACATTGCTATAGCTTTTTGGATATCTTCTGAAGTTCCAGATGCAACATAAGCAATACCTAAAGCATACTTAAAACATAATGATTCGAGTTCTAATTTTTTATAAATTTCAGATGATAAATCAATTTCTCCAAGAACTTCTTCATAATTATCAATAGCACATTGATTTCGACCAGCTATTAAATTCTCAGAACCTTCTTTTAATAATTGCTTTAGTCTATCTATATTAGTACTACCAAATTCTTCTTTGATATCACATGTAATATCTGTACTAGGCTCTTCAGAATTACTATCTGAATCAGTTAATTCTGGAATATCAGTAGGCCAATGTTCTTCATTTTTTGTCTCTATTTGTTTCATAGATGAGTCATTTATATGTAATCCATCTGTACTTTTACTGTGATCCAAAGTTAATTTTTTATACTTTTTGCTACACTGACCTTCATTCCTACATTTTTTACCTATCTTTTCTTCTACAATTTTTAACATATCTTTGCTAATTGGTGCTTCCTCACAATTCTTTATACCATAAGAGGCAATACAATGAGCTTCATGAAATCTGCATTGTCCTTCAATTGCTTGAGCTAATCTATAATATCCTTTTGACCAATTTGGCTTCAAAACAATAGCACGTCGTCCATCTAATTCTGCTTCATCTAATTTCCCTAGTTTTAAATATGCTTGTGCACGATTACCATACAGTATTGCACTGTAACGATTAGTTTTAATTGCCATAGTATAAGAAGCTACAGCTCTATTATATTGACCATCTTTATATTCAGCATTTCCCATCTCTTTCCAATTTTTTGCTTCTTTATTCCACTCATCTTGAAATTCTTTTATCATTGTATTTGCTTCAGCTGTTTCTAGCATTATATCAAATAATTTATAAGATATCAGAAATGCAGCTGATCCCATTCTTTTATCTAAAAGATTTTCAGATAACATTTTTTTAACAATTGAATACATGTCGTCTCTACTAACACACTTTATAGCATCATCTAACGAATAACAACGATTAAGTTCTCCACATATAATTCGATATTGAAGAAATTTGTCTCTCAAAATATCACACGTAGCTGAGGCAACTGTTAATGTATGTAACATAAAAGTTGTATGATATATTATAGTATCAACTAATATAACTGCATGTTTAGCATGTTTATCAGCTTTTCCATCTTGGATAATACCTTGTGAAGGCAGGAGAGAACCTTCTTTAGCCCAGTTAGTAAGCAATGATGATGTATACACTTCACCAAACAAGAAAGGATCTAAGCCTCTAATCCTAAGATACCATTTATCAACTCCTGTCAAAAATGTCCATAAACTTGTCTTCATATCATTAACTGTGTTATGTTGATGTTTCCCACATTCTATGACTGAACTGAATTTTTCATTCAGTTTTGACCAATCTCCATGCCACATTTTAAATTTTAAAATACTTAGGCGTTAAAATATAAAAAGTTGATTGTAATAATTGTATTGCACCTTATGTTTTATGATACTTAAATGCAATATTAATTATTACATATGATACTCATTTAGAAAAACTGTCTTGAAAGATATGACTATATTACCACAAAATCTGAAAAAGAAATAATATGCATTAAAATTAAAAAGTATATAAATAAAAATAATTGTTTATGTTAATTATTTAAAATTTTTCCTATATATAATCTTATAGTCTCTATTGGAGAAGAACAAAGCTAATATGTCACTGTTGAGTTTGAATACATGTTCGCAATGAAATAATGTGCAACAATGTGCAACACCGTGTCATGATTTTTTCTGCATTACATTATCAGACAATATTTTATTCACTACTATACATTTCAAATTTATGTAAAAAGAATTGATGATACATTCATTACCTATCAGAAATACTTGATGTCAGGATTATAACTTTAATGACAATCTTCTTCATGATTTAGTTTTTTGAAATTTAATTTGAAAAGCATACAACAGAATGTAAGAATACACCTATTCTCTAATTAAGATCATCATCATGTCGTGAATCAACTGATCTCTCTGTCTTAACAAGAGTTTAACACAGAATTTACAATAAAATGGCTTTGTTCTTTATCCTAAAGAAACAGAATATTTTTTAGATATCATAACAAAGATATATCAACTATTAGAATATATTTTAATTTATTAATTTAATTAACAGACTCTTTTTAATGACCAGTGTTTCAAATTAAAATATTAATTTTATAATAATGTATTTTCACAGAAAAATTTCAGAAGACAATTTTTAGATGAAGAATAAATAACTCTTATCTAATATACAAAATAAATGCACAGTTATCCCCTGTCTAATGTCAATAATCCATTCCTGAAAATCAGTGAAGTGTAGAAAACAATAATACAGGTAAATATCTTATGAATACTGCTTCTAAGTTTATATTTACCAAAGAAAAACTAAGAAAAAATTTGACTGTCATCTAAAATGTGATAAGTTTTTACTTGGTGCAATATTTTTGATTCTCAGGTGTTTTGTTTATACAGTGGTACCTCAGGATACGAAATTAATCCGTTCTGAAACTGAGATCGTATCATGAAAATGTCGTAAGGTGGATCATCTTTTCCCATATGATTACATGTAAAACCAAATAATTCGTTCCAACGCGAAAAACATACTCAAATTAAAGCCAAGTAATACATTAAAAAAAATAACTTTAGTAAGAAAAACAAATGAAAAATGTGAACTAATGTAACGTCGTATGGTGAGTTTTTGTTCGTATCGTGGAGCAAAAATATGTTCGAATTTCATGTCGTATCCTGAAAATTTCGTATGCTGGGGCGTTCGTAACCTGAGGTACCACTGTATATCAGTTATCAATTGTTATTTGGTTAATAATTGTATTATTATTAAGACAACAATATACAACTCAGTCAGTGCTGCCAACCAAATGCTTTTGGTATTCATTTGGTCTGCATTGACTGAACACATCAACAACCAATGCACTACCAACCAAACACTTTCAATATGCTGTTTGGTAAAATTGTAATAAAAAGCTTTAATTTGCATAGATTTAAGCTTTTGTTACTCTGGATAGCATTTTGAATAAAAGTCATTCATTTAAAAGCAATTTTATCCTTATAAGCATAAAATTAAGCCATAAAACTGAAATTGCTCTTTGGGAAACCTCTGTGAACTTTGACATACTGACCTGAAGTTTCACTGGCACTTCACTAATAATGAAAAAGGCTTAAGTTTAAAATTTGAGCATTCTAGACCCAGTAATTTTTTCTATAAGCATCTGTAGTGCCGGATGGAGAAAAAGAAAAAACAACCTTTTTAGCAATTTTTGTACTTTTCAATAGCTTGTATTTCGGCCCTTTATAGAAAATCTCGAAATTTTGCACACTAAGAAAACAATTATGTTTTGAATGAGATATTCAGAATTACTTCAGGTGTTTGGGACAGAGAAAGTGACCCCCAGAAATCAGCAACTCTGATTCCTGTAATCAGAAGAACCTCATTTTAATAGATTTCTCAGGCTGCCAAAAATCTTATGCTGTTCCAAGAATCTATTATATTGCAAACAATGGATTTCCCACACACCCAGGAAGATATCTCTTATTTTAAAAAATTTGTTTTTTTTTAATTAGAAATAAATAGCTTACTTATTAGCTATGAAATTAAACTGATATTGATTGAGAGATGATCAAAGAAAATGAAAAGTAAATGGTAGGTAATTAAGACATATTATCACCCTTGAATCTCTTGAAAAATATTTTAAATCCAAAAGTAAGAATACAGTAGAATCTGTTTATAAGGTTTATTAAATAATAAAAATGTTAGCAAATTTATATTAATGTATATAAATTGAAATAGTACATTATTTATTAATTAGGTAGCATGTATCAATAAATAATCTAGAAATTTTCAAGAAATATTTAAAATTCTTTCTTTAATTTACTAAAATATCATCCATATAATATAGATAAATTGGAAGGAAAAGACAGAATAATACCTATGTATGAAACCACAAATCTCTTGTTATTATTTTTATCAAAAAGATAATTTATGCAAGTTTAAACCTAGGTCTAAATGTTGGGGGGGAAAAGTATACTTCTGAACGACAAAATTTGAATTTTGCATATGTACTAGTTGCATGTTGTACAGGAGTTTACTGTAGTTGAAATCAGTCATTTTAGATGTTTTATAAATAAGAAAAATATTTTGAAAGAATAAAATATTTAAAGATGATGTTATCAAATATGCATTTGATTTTTAACATCTATAATAATTGAAAAATAAATATAGAAACCTAAAATTTTAAAATTTTTTCAAAACTTAGACATTTGTTGATTTTATATTTTATATTAAAATGCTTGGAATATCCTCTATGAACATAGGTATAAAGTTCAATAGTAATAATTTAAAATTATGAGTTAATTAAATGTACTCAGAATGTAACATTTAACTCTACTACTGTGGCACTTGCTTACAGTCTTGATGAGAAACATATAAAATCAACCTTATTTAATGCACTTACAATGTCAAGTGCAGTCAAAGCTACAAACTATTTTGCATATATTTAAATATAATTTAAAATGTATATACATAATTTTTTATTAAAACTTAATCAATAGTTTTTTGAGAAATTATAGATTCAACCCAAGTGATTGGGCTGCAATTTTCAAATTGCAGACCTATACATTATCACTGTCTGAGACACAGTCGAGACTAAATATGGAAAGGTTAGGGGCCAGAGGCTCTGATTAACTGTAAATTAACTTCTAGTTGAGATTAGAAGTCATGTGGCATCAATTCAAAATTTTATCCAGAATGGAATTATATGAATGATCAGCATGACATTTATTTGTTATCAGGAGAAGTATGATGTACAGGGGAAAGACCACTAAAATTCAGACCAAATATGGAAAGCTTAAGGGCAGGACACCCTGATTGATTAACTATATAAGAACTTAAGGTCCAGACTGGAAATCATGTGATTTTTTAAAGTTAAAAGATGATTAAAAATTGCAGCCTAGCATTGTGACAATATCACAATAAATAATTACAGTGGGTGATCAGTTAATGAACATAATCCGTTCCAAGACTTTATTCGCTATCTGAATTGTTCGTTAACTGATTATCGATTTACCATAGGTTTTAATGGCAATTTAATTAATTTTTCTGGAGACCCCCAAAAATAAAAAATATATACTTTCTTAGTACATTTATTTATATGTAATAATAAAAATACATACATACACAAGTCTTGTGTTTTTATTAGTTTACATGTTTTTTTTTCGTTTGAAAGGGTTAAAGAATCTGTCTAATGTCGATTGCTTTTCTCTCTTCTTCAGGATTTTTTGTAAGTAATTAATAGCATTTCAATTGTAGAAATTCCCAAGACTCAACCTGGTTTGGATGCCATTCTGACATCCTCCCACTTCTTCAAAGGATCTTTAATAACAGATATCGGCATTAATCCTCTTTTTCAGAAGAAAACATATCTCGCCAAGTTTCTTGGTGTTCTTCATTCAAGAGTTCTTGGCGTTCTTCTGTCGTCATTATGAACTCTTTGATTTTGTAAAANAAATAGACTTATTTATAGAACAATCCCCCATTTCTCACCTCAGGGAAAGTCATAAAACAGTTGGGTGCTAATGACTTTGTGAAAGGGAAAAAGTTCTACACTTAGAAACTTCGAAAGAAGGGATTTGGCCTGTACCGTCCGCGGGCCGCATAAACATTGATAGGGGGCCGTATGTGGCCCGCGGGCCGCAGGTTGTGCACCCCTGCTTAGAAGAATGGAGAGAATTACTTGGATAGATAGAATAACCAATAAGGAGGTTATGAGTATATTTGGAATAGAAAGAAACCCAATGGTCAGAATCCAGAGAAGAAAAACAGCATATGCTGGTCATATAATAAGAAGATCCTCAGGAGAACTGATGAAAATTGCAGTTCAACAAATGGAGAGAAGACAAAAAAAGGGAAGACCTAAGCTAACATGGCAAGACAACATCAAAAAAAGGACTGGCTCAAGCTTGGGAAAGCTTATAACTGTGAAAAGTGGAGAACAACTGTCCATCAACTGCAACCCTTTGTAAAGAGGACACCACGTGAATGAATGAATAAAGATTTAAAAAGTGTGAAAACTTTAAAATTTACAGTTCAAAAATACAGACATTGCTTGTTCCATTATTTCTCCATTACGCAATTTAATTGGTTCTTGATATGATTTAAAATTGCTTGGGATTTCTAAAAATATTTGACTCTGAGAAAGGCAACTTGAATTAATTTTACATTTGAGGAGTTTCCTTAAATAAATACATTGTGAAAAACAAATATCCCATCAAAAATATCAATATATAATTCATAAAATTTATTTAATAACTAAAATGACTGCAAAGATGTTCATTTCTCCTAATGAATTACTAACACTTTTAAATGCACAAAATAATTCATTTAAAATAAAACAACTTGGTTTACTTATATAAAGTGCCAATTCTTTAATTTAACAACAACATAGATTAGGTTATCTTTGATTTTTTAAATGTTATATTAGTATTTCAAAATAAAACTCCAAAAATTTTATTTAATTCTGTCATTGCACTAATTAT